CAGTGAGAAATGCAGTTAGCCATAAAACCATAATGTGAGAAGGATATAGAGCTGGGTTGCACAAAGTTTCACCTATTCAATCCTTATGTCCATCATGAAATTATGTAGCTATTAGAATATTAGTGTGTGTTTGCTGTTTCCATCTGTTGTAGATCTCGAGCAGAATTTTGGAGGGGTCCAAGTTCTACCCTGCCCCAAAATTCAACTACAGACTTTTCAGGATGATACTCTTTAAAATTAGTGCTATATCCATATTAGCTAATTTTCCAGGACTACATAGTATCCACCATCTATTTAAATTGAATTGCAATATTACTTTAGATTTGGTACCTCTCTAGCTTGTGCACCACGCTACCCCCATATTTCTCATGACTACTGCAAGAGCCTCCTAACACTCCTCCTCATACCCACTTTGTTTTCCTCCTTCCCCTCCACTCAAGTCGTTTTTCCACTGATGACAGGATTTTTTGTTTTTTGGGTTTTTTTAACTATCTGATTATGTCACCAGCTGCTTAATAAAAACTGCAGTGGCTTCACATTGCTCTTTGGATAAAGAGCAAAAGTCTTCACATGGCCTGTTTGACCTTTGTGGTCTAGTCCTCTCTGTCTCCAGCCTCACTTCGTACAGAGCTCTCAGCCTTACATATGCCTTGTTCTGTGCTGTGGATATACTCCTCTTGTCTGTTCCCTTCCCACTATCCCCTTTTACATCTCTTCTTCCTTTGGGTATCATCTCAGTCATCACTTCCTCAAGGAAGCCTCTGACTTTCCTCGCTCAGTCAGTTGCCCTATTATAAACCCAGTACCATCTTTTTTCCTTTGTGGCATTTATTGCCATTGTGATTTTACATTTCTCTGTGATGCTTTCATTATTTCCAGTCTCTTCCACTAGCCTGCAAGCTCCACAAGCCCCATGCCTGGTTTTGCTCGCCATTGCGTCTGTGCGTGGCACAGTGCCTAATTTATGGAAGGTGTTCAGTCTGAATTAGTTGCATGAAGGAATGCAGAAGTGTCTCCTGTGAAAAAGAAGTTTTAGTTGACATGAGCTAAAAGGAACACAATTCTGTAGAACTTCAGTGAGAAAGATTTCAAGGTATTAATAATACTTTCATTCATGACACTATAATTTTGATGACAATAAAGGATTCTTCCAGTTTTTAGACCTATTAGACATATTGTAGAGCATTAGATAATTAAATAAGTGAGATGAGATCCTAAAGAATCACAGAGTAAGAAAAATACTTCAGATGTCAAATAGTCCAGGCTTCTCTCTAATGTGTATGTCAGAGGCTGTGCAGCTTCCCGAACATCTCTGTTAACAGGGGACTCAGCATCACCAAAGGCTACTTTGTTTTTTAATTTCTTCATGTTAGTCAAAATTGGCCTGCTCTTTTTTCATATTTTCTATCCAGTTGTGTCAGTTTCTGCAGCAATTCTATCTCCTACCCAGACGGAGCCCTTTCAGACGAATAGACCGCTCTCATGCATTCCTCTAGCTTTCGTTCTCCCAACTCTTCCCCTCACATGCTGTGCTCCTGCCATGTTGGTTCTGAAAATAGCTGTGCCCTCCTTTCTTTCCTCCAAACCTTCACCCATATTGTTTCTTCTTTGGAACACCTTATTTTTCCCTCTACTTCCCCTCCCAGCTTTAGCTCCCCTGGCTACTTCCTCCTCATCCTTAAGGTCTCAGGGAGGTCTCTTTCACCCCTCTTTGCCCCCAGTTACGTTAGTGGCCCCTACTCTGTGCTCCCACAGCCCTTGTTCATCCCCTAAAGTAGCTCATGCCACATTTTATTGGGATTTTTAATCCAGACTGTATTATCCACAAGAAGGGAGACCACAGCTCACCAGTGCCCATCGCCATGTCGTCCACTGTTGTTTACACCATGCCCAATGTGCAGTAAGCATTCACTGCATCTTTTCCTGGGTAAATTTGAGAACACCAACTGAACTATTCTCTAAGCCAGCATCCAGAGCTTTTTCTACAGGCATGCACATGACAGTTTAGGATTTCACCAACTTCTAGACATGCTCTGGCTCACCAGTGTCCCTCCTGAAGAAAGGCACTGAGAAGAACTCATGCTGTTTTAGGCAAAGTACAACCTGGACTAGATGAAACATAGTGTCTCTGTAATATAGAGTCCTAGGGACTTTTTTATGCTCAGAAGCAAAATTTCTTATTCTCTTTTGGTTGTGAGCTAATTTTTGAGCTGTGGACATTATCAGTTTATCTTGGTACTGCTTTTTTTTTTTTTTTTTTTAAGCGTGTTAATGAAGTAAATTTGAAGAAGTGGTGTTTGGAAGCAGTTTTTTAATTTACTTAAGCTGTTAGTCTCTTCTCTGGGTTGTTAACCACTGTCAGAAGTTGGGCTTTTCTGACTGTTCTCTTGGTTTCTGTCAGCTAGTCCACTACGGTTTCACTTCCTAACCTTTTCAGAATGTGTTCTCAAAGTGGCAAGTGTTTCAGTGATGTATGATGATGTTTGCAGGGGGTGGGGGTGTGTGGGAAGAATTCCTCAACTTTTGTTGTTTTGGGAGGTAGAAAAGGAAATTTATCTCCTTTATAAAGGAGATTATGTATGCCGGTAGAGTGGGCTAGACTTTGAGAGATAGGAGGAGAAATGGACTAGAAGAAAGAAAACAGTATGAATTGAGAAAAAAGATAGGTGGCAAAAAAGTAATAAGGACAGAGAATGTAATTTTCTGATTATGTGATCACCTACCACGTGGTTCCACAATGTTATATACTTTACTCTTGTTACTTCTTTCATAAAATGACTATGGAAAGTAGACGTTGTTAACCTCATTTTATAGCGGAGGTAACAGTCTCCCAAGTCATACAGCTAGCGAATGGGAGAAGGATTTCTTTTAAACCTGTTTCTAAAGCTGCACTCTTCTAATTTGACTTATTAGCAACTAGTTTTGTACATGACATGAGGCAGATTGGATAGTCACTATAGCATAATGGTTAAGAGTGTTTATAGATTCTAGAGCCAGTTGGCCTGGGTTCAAATCTTGGCTTCGTCAAGGCTCTACTGTCTACCAGCTGTGAGCAAGTTGCTTAACTTCTCTGTCTGTGTGCCTCATTCTCTTCATTCATCTGCAAAATCAGGGTAATTGTGGTACCTTCCTCTTAGAGTTGTGAATTGATTTAGTTAATACATAGTAAATCCTTAGAACAGTTCCTGGCATATATGAAACACTATGTAAGTATTTGTTGCTGTTCTTCTCCTTCTCCTTCTCAGTTTGTGTGTGTGTCTCCTGTGAAAGGTCCCATCTCTGAGAACTTTGAGGAAGGTGTCCAAACTATTGCCAGAGCTGTTTCATCAGCATGATGTAGTCAGACTTTTCTCGAGTTTCTCGCCCTCTTGGGGTTCTTACTGTGTCATCATATCCTTCATCCCTAACTGGTCTCAACCCCCAAAAAACAAGCACACGTGCGCACACACACAGCCTCACCTTCCTCTTTTCCCTTTCTCAAGTTAAGAGCCAATTCAGACCTTCTCCTTAGTATTATTATCTAAAAAGGGAAGAATAAAGATTCACCTTAGGTCATACATTAATAAGGATCTAGCAGCATAAGTTAAAATTTGTAATTCAAAACAGAAAACTTAGGAAGTGCTCCTGCTCCCACTTTACATTTACTTGTTATAAAATAGGGTGCTTCCCAGCCTTCCTTCTGTTCAGGTCTACTGGATTTAAGTAGAAAGCTCCATGACAATGAGAAGCTTTGGCTATTTCTGATGATTGTTTGTTTCTGTTGTGATATAACTTAATTACTATAAATTAGCTTCTTTTTCCTAGGAAATTAGAACTTCTTTTTAAAAATTACTAACCCCTCAAACTTGCTGACGATCACTTACTGGATTGAGGGGAAAATATAATTAGAGAAAGAGCTATATCTGTTTCTTTGCAGAGAGCCTGAAGATCTGTCTTATTTTGAAAGGGTACAAAGGGGCCCTTTTTAAAATTTCTGTTTGGAGGGATGAGGGGCAAAGATTTTTCTTAAGTAATGAACTAACTCATTAATTTTGGCTATGTTAACTTAGTTAATTTAAATTAATTCATTGTTCAAAATTTACCAAGGAGGACTTAATAATTTAATGAAGTATAATACAATTTTAATACTTTTTTTCACTACATTCAAGAACTATATTTGTGTGTTATTTATGTATGCATAATGTCTATTTGATTAGTGCTCATGAGCATTGTTCTAATATTTATTATATTGCCCATAGTTTTCTTTCCTCCTTTCTTTCTTTCATTCATTTGTTCATTTGCTCGTCTGTCCATCCTTCCTCTCTTTCTTTCTTATGATGCCATTTAGTTCTTATATGACAACCATTTGCAATACTCTGAGGAAAAAACCAATGTATTCCTGGCCTTAGTTATAGTAGAAATTATGAAAATTCAATACTCGTTGCAAAAATAAAATGACATGCTAAGTTAAAGCCATATTGTTGTCTAGAATGATAATGCTTTCCATAAATAATAGGAAATGGCAAGACTTGCTGATGGCATACATTTACATTTTACTTATCAGATAAATTTTTAAGTCCTTTAATTCTCTGAGCATCTTCTCTACCTGTGAAGGCAGAAATCATTTTTTACCACTCTCCCTTACCACCATCTTCACCAAATAATATCACTTCATCCAAGCCATACAATTTGTATTTCAGTTGCTGTTAGCTACCACAGAGCAATTTAAAACTGAGTTGAGCAAACGGTTGAGAGTGTGAGGTGTAGGGTCAAGGAAAATCCAGAAAGAGGGGGAAGCCAGATCATTAGGCCTCACAATTGGAGACTGTCACTTTTAAAACCATCCATGGGTTTCTCTAGTTGTTTCTGGAACTCATTGCTTTTTCCTGTTAGCTCCTTCTTCCCCCACTTCTGTTTCTTTCCCCAAGTCCCATTCTCTGATTTTGGAAGTCTGGGTGAATAGTAACTTGATGCGGCTGATTCTGTGAGAGTATATTAATCCTCTTCTTTCTTTGTTGCAGGGGGCTTGTACATGATAGCTGGCATAACCTGCAGTTGAGGGGCTTGGTGGTGCTACTTATTTCTAAAGCAGCTGGGCCCAGCAGCATGAATACTTCATGTCAGAACTATGACATGGTCGGTGGGATCTATTCATGGTAAGAAGAACTTAGTCTTTTGATATCGCTTTCTAAATTGTGTTTCCTTTTACTGAACAGTGGTCAGTGGAGATCACTATTTAGTTCTTTGTCATTCTCAGATTCACGGATAGATTAACATATTTTGTAAGGTTAAAAATGTATTTCTATTGTTCTTTTTTTTTTTTAAGTTTACTTATCTATTTATTTAGCAGTCTCTACACCCAGTGTGGGGCTTGAACTCATGACCCCAAGACCAAGAGTCACACACTCTTCCTACTGAGCCAGTCAAGCACCCCCCTCTTTTTTAAATGTATTTTTATTGTTCTTAACAAGTCTAATAGACGGAGCAGCTCCATGCATCACTGGTAAATTTCCCTATACATTTGAAAACTTTCATTTCTATTCTGGCCGTTTAAAATTTTCTATTCGTGACTACCCCTCCTTCGCCATCATGGTATTTCTCTTTAGAGACTTAATCCGGGATTTATGATTTTTAAACCTACTCAGAATGATACCTAACTATAAAATAATGTTGCAACTATCATTTTAGGAGAAGTAGTGTACTTCAGTGCTGTATCATTTCATTATGCTTATTTTTATGGTGAAGAGGTTTTTACTAAACTTACTAGAATAAGAAATTTTTTCTCCTACACACTTAGACTAAAAAACAAATATGTGAGTGTGAGTCGTTTTTGCTTCATATAAAACAAACTTAAAATTTTCAGTTTTTTATTTTTTAAAAAATCACTGCATATTTTTGGGGGCGCCTGGGTGGCTCAGTCGTTAAGCGTCTGCCTTCGGCTCAGGTCATGATCCCAGGGTCCTGGGATCGAGCCCTGCATCGGGCTCCCTGCTCT